TCAATTAATCGTATTGTAATCGCGATTACGATTATGGCTTGCAACGATTACGAAAACAACGTAATCTAAATAAAACGATTATTTTGTATTATTATTATTTAGTATTCATTTTTTTTTTTTTTTGGTTTTTCAGTTGAATTATACTTAAAGTTCAGGGTAATCAACTGTTATTGACCCAAATAATCGAGATTATGATTTTTGCCATAATCAAGCAGCCCTAGTGCTAACCCTTACATTTTAGAATACTTTAGTTTGCTGAGTGTGCATGCTCTTCCCCTGCAGTGCAACAGAGACACACATTGACATCTGGAGATCCTGGAGAGAGACAGTTTGCATAACCCACGTACTTCCCCTTTCTAACTGTTTGGTGTCCCTCATTGGCTCCTCCCTCAGGGGTATTAAAATGACATGGCTCGTATACTTCAGTCGTCATTGGACCCTGGGGGTTATTTTCTTTTGACCAACTACCAGCAGCCAGGTGTTTTCATGGTGGGGATTCAGGTGTTTTTAGTGCTGTGAAAGCATCGCGTAGACGTTTTGGTTTTATACCGTGGGAATATGCAAAAATATAGTAAATTCTCGTGAGGCACACTTTTCTGCATGTTTTATTATAACATGGTGCGTCTAAGACAGTTAAGAGCAAATGTGTCACCTGATAGTTGTTGAAAAACGTTTTGAACCTCTCAGTGCTGAAGAAAAAGAGAGGAAAACATGACCCTCTCCTCTTAAAGGGGCCCTATGATGCTGTTAGGGGTTTTCCCTTTACTGTAGTTTGATATAGGTTTTAGTGAATGTAAATAGTCTGTTAAGGCTAAAATTCGAAATGTCCCCCCCAGAGGGAGTCTAACGCCTCCATTGGACTCTTTTGTTTACTTCCTTAACATAAGGACATCACTATGTGACACTTGCGCTTCTGTTGGCTAGTGCTGGTAAACATTTCATGTGGTAGGCTAAGGGGAGGGACATATAAGCGGTTGACCAATCACAACTGCACCGGCGTCCAGTTAACCAATCAGAGCAGACACTTAAAACAAATATGAACATTAGCATAAAAGGGCCCCTTTAATAAACTGTACTATTCTTTGTGTATGTGCCAACATCAGGAGTTATTGTAAATTGGTTAAGTCAAGTCTTATTCAGGTGAATACTAAATAGTCACTAACTTCTACAAAGTGAATCTTCTCTCTAACAGTTCTGAGATCATTTCTAATTGTTTCCCCCTGAAGTGTTTACTGACCCTCGGTGTTCCTCCTCTGTTTCCCTGAAGGAGGAGTACCGGGCGGAGGGCATCACCTGGCATCACATCGAGTACATCGACAACAGCGGCTGCCTCAACCTCATCAGCAAGAAACCCACAGCGCTGTTCCACCTGCTGGACGAGGAGTGCAAGTACGCCACCTGCTGAACTAAAGTTTATATTGTAGAACGTGTTGCACTTCTGGTTTGATGATGGCAGGGTTTCCTGGAGTTTAACATGCATAATATTATTTATATTCTCTTAAGATTTTTCATTAATGCATTGTATGCTTACTCCAATTCTAGACACTGCACAACATATCAGTACTATAAATATATATATACGATTTGTTGTGGTTATTAACGGTTACCAATCTGGTTTACTGGATATTATAACAAATGCTGAGTTTTGATAACATTAAAGGTGGGGTAGGACATTTTGGAGAAACCAGCTCGAGTGCGCTAGAATTTGAAAATACACAACCGGACAAAATCTGCCACTTCCTTCAGACTTCCTTACAGAGCCCCTCCTCCAACACACACAAACGCGCACATGACCAATGAGGGCACGAGATAAGTTTGTGCACAGATGGAAGGCTGACAGGCAGGTAGGCCATCCAGTTATTTTAGCCGGGCCGGCTCAGATGATTGGTCGTGCTTTTTACAGCGCCAAGGCTTCCACAGATGAAATTTTTTTATGGATTTTTTATAACAAAAAGTGTATCTCTAGCCTGTTTCTCAAACTTAGCTACCCCACCTTTAAGATTTTTCATTCATGCATTGTATGCTTACTCCAATTCTAGCCACTGCAACACATATCAGTACTATAAATATATACATGATTTGTTGTGGTTGTTAACGGTTACCAATCTGGTTTACTGGATATTATAACAAATACTGAGTTTTGATAACATTAACTCTGGATATTCAGGGGCCGAGTGAATTAGTTTTATTGGCCCTAAGTCCCTTATTTTTAGCCTCACTATCAGGACATATTTTCCACAATTTCAAATGACATTTAGAAGAAGCACCAAAGAGGAGAACATTTGTATTTCTTTGGAAGCAGGCCTTTGCTTTTACCTTCCTTTCTTTGTGGTTGTTTGGCGTACAAGAAGAGCACCAATGGAAGGGTGTTGGGTGTCAAGGTTAAAGTGTGAAGTGTTTCCCTGTGTTTGGTTCCCATCCCTTGCTCCACTCATTAAAAATTCACATCCCTAGCTCGTGTGAGTTATGTGGAGAGAGAAACATATTTCACTGCAGCATGCTCTCTTGATATCACTCTGCAGAAGCAGCTTTTATCCCCCAGCTGGTGATCCGTGGAGACAAAGTGCTCCCTGTGCAGGACTTCTCCTCATTAGCTTGATTGATACCAACACTGGAGCTTCTAGCAGAGCGAAGTGAAAGCATAAATACATTTTTATTCCTCCGCCAGCATCTCGGGGTCACTTTTTCTCTTTGTTTCCTGTTGTGAAGCGTTCTCCTCCTGCATCTTCCCCCTCCATAAATCAAACTCAGCGCCCCTCCCACCCTCGTCGCATAAAAACACATCAGGCGCTACACACACACACGGCTGTATTTATCTATGTCAGCTGTCGTCTTACTTGCCACTTAGGATAGCTGGTTCATCTGGATCTTATTATGTGGGGAATGGATCAAATGGCGTGTATAGTTTGTGTATAGAAAAATATGTGTGTGTGTGATAGGGAAGCACTACTGGAGAATTGGGGTCAAAGGGGGATCTCTATAGGCAGGGTCTCTCCTGCGGTTTTTGCTGCCACTGGAAGAAGCTTCATGCTAAATGATTACACAGAGAGAAAGAAAGACGCTTAGAGATCTCATCCTTCACAGTTAGGGGAGGCTGCCGGCCCTCTGGAGACGTGGATTAGGTTACTGCAGCATCCAGGGCGAGAGTGGGGGGTTTATTTCTACTGTAGCATCAAGCCGTAAGACCCCCGCGGATATACTTCAGCCAGCAGTGTGTTTCAGATGAGTACTGAGGGAAGGTTTATATGATGGGAAACATCCCTTGAGCTATGTTGAGGTTGGTAGTAAATGCCCAAATGTGCAAAAATAAATGCTGCAAATGTGGTTAAAATTGAGCAATAGTAACACATTTGGGACAGACTTGTAATCCCTGAGAGTTAATTAAATCAAATAAAATACAAAACGTGTTTTTATAGGCCAATATCACAAAACACATTTGTCTCAGGGGGCTTTACAGTTTGTACAGATCAATGAATGACAGTTTAGAAATAAATACAAATATCACAACGTTGTCAATCTAATTGACAAAATGGATGAACTAAAATACAATGAAAGGGAAATAAAATGCTGTATTCATAGCTTCCATTTTGTAGAAATACACTGCATACTCATCAGATACTACAATGACTTAAAACAGGTTGAATAAAGTACTTTGAACTTGCCTCTAAAACGATCCCTCTTTCCTCTAGTTTCCCCCAGGCCTCCAATCAGACCCTGCTCGACAAGTTCAAGCGTCAGCATGAAGGAAACAGTTACATCGAGTTCCCCGCTGTCATGGAGTCGGCCTTCATCATCCGACACTACGCCGGGAAGGTCAAGTACGGAGTCAAGGTGAGACGCCGGCCATTCAGGATGTGGACTCTTCTTTGTACGAGGATTTACATCGTTGCTTTTGCACACCTGATAGCTGTTGTTTGTTATGTATTTATTTCAACAAGGACCATGCATACAAATACATTAATCCCAGAAAAGAGAAGAGATTAATTATGCCGGATTATAGCTAATAGCTAATTTACATCTGCAGTCATTCCAGTTCCAGTATTGTGAGATATTAATAGTGCTTTAATTGTCAACCTGTATTAAAAACGATCTTTAACATTGGCCAACGCTTCACAGATAACTCTACAGGTCTGCTTAACCCTCCTATTGTCTTTGTTTCCCCCCTTACTTTGTGTTCGCGGTCAAATTTGACCGGTCCTGTTTTAACTGCTATTACATTAACACAAAAGCCATTAATCATCACCAAATTTCATTTAACACCCTTTCAAACTGTAAATAATGTATCAGACTACTGGTATACATGAAAAACTGCAGTAAATATACAAAGAACAGACACTGAACATGTATTGCGTGTGCCAGGTGTGATCCATGTGGGGGGATGGCCACATAAGAGCGGGACACACACACATCTAAAGTGTGTGTGTGTGTGTGTGTGTGTGTGTGTGTGTGTGTGTGTGTGTGTGTGTGTGTGTGTGTGTGTGTGTGTGTGTGTGTGTGTGTGTGTGTGTGTGTGTTTTATCTGATCCGGATGGTTACTAATTCCTTTTCTTTATGGC